GCCGTTTTCTTACAAAAAAAATTAAGTTAAACAGACCATATCTCCATGGTCTTTACAGGGGCTCACCCCTCACTTTGGGCACCACTTCACTGAGGCATGAGAAGCTTTGACATATTTACAGAAGGTACTGGAGCCACATGCAAAACACAGAATTAGAAAATAAACAAAGGTGAAAGAAAGGACTTCATGCAAAACACAGAATTAGAAAATAAAGAACTTTATGCAAAACACAGAATTAGAAAATAAAAAACCTAAGACCTCATATCATATTATTCATATGTTGAAGACAGCGCCCTCTAATTTCACAGGATCATTTCCACTCTGGTGGCAGAGGCTAATGTTCTGAAGAAAAAAAGACCTAAGACCTAATTTCGTGGCCTCAGGTGATTTGTCTTCGCATAATTTATACAAATTACACGTAGAAACACTGGAGCAGGTTAAAAAAAAAAAGAAAAAAAAAAACTACAGCTACAGGTGAAATCTTCTCAGGGTCGGTGTCCCCCCCCCCCTCCACCTCCCCCTCTGACCTGCAGGGGAGACTATTTCACACTGACTGACCGGTGTGTGTCGATTATTACAAAGAGCCTACTAATAACTGTGGGGGGGGGTGTCAAGAGGGGGGGGGGGGAGGAATTTTTCTCTGTCTGGCAGCTGCCCCCCCCCCTCCACCCCTTTGGGTTTGGCTCAGTAGAACCTAGAATTCGGGGGAGAGGACAACTCCAGGTCTCACTGAAACACATCCCTCTCTCCCCCTGCTGCCACAAACGGGCAACTACAAGTCTGTGAAGAGGGCGAGTCTGGAGAGCGGTACCAGGAAGGACCACGACCCTTATCTGACCCACTGGAGCCTCAAAGTGGTCACACTGCAGTGGGCCTGAGGAGATGGTGCTGCCCTCTAAGATAGTGGACTTAACCCTGCACGTACACACACACACACACACACATTCATGTTCTATGAATTTCTGGCCCAAATCACATTCCTGAGACCTTTAGAATAAAACATAAAAAAACAAATATAAATTCAAACCAGATGTTGTAGTGTGAGGAGAAAAATCAATAAAAATCAATGTGAAATCATGAGGGAGATTGATTTAATGTCCTTAAGTATTAGTGAGAGAGAGAGGCAGAGAGAGAGAGAGAGAGAGAGAGAAATCGACGACTTGAAATACAGGAAAACTCAAGAAACAAAAAAAAACAGAGGAGAAAATAAATACTGCTCCAGTTTCAGTATCCTACAGCCACAGTATACAACAAATACATGTGTGTATTTATATATTTATGAAGAAAAACCATCTGAGAAGGACGTCTAACACAGACCATAATGCCACAAATGATTCAACGCTGGAGAAAAACTGAGCCTCTGCCCAAACGCCAGCCTTATTTTGGAACAAAGTGAGAAAATACTGAGAAAATACTGAGAAAGTACTGGGAAAACACTGAGAAAATACTAGGAAAATACTGAGAAAATACTGAGAAAGTACTAGGAAAATACTGAGAAAATACTGAGGAAATACTGAGAAAGTACTGAGAAAACACTGAGAAAATACTAGGAAAATACTGAGAAAATACTGAGAAAGTACTGAGAAAATACTGAGGAAATACTGAGGAAGTACTGAGAAAATACTGAGGAAACACTGAGAAAGTACTGAGAAAATACTGAGGAAATACTGAGAAAGTACTGAGGAAATACTGAAGAAATACTCCAGTTGTTTCAGAAATATCATTTTGCAGCAGATTCTTCAGAACGACCTCTGGAGTTTCAAAAGTTGAGGTTAAAATGTGTGAGTCGGACACAAAAAACAAAAAACAAAAATAAAAAAGATTCTGTGAAGCTGTCGCAGAGCAGAGCCAACGCTCAGCACGTTCTCAAAGACGACTCGTCTTTTATTCCTCTCCGGCTAATCGGAGCCGCAGCGACCATCTGGGCCGACTCAGAAACAGAGCAGAGTCGAAGCAGTAAAATCAATGACAACAACTCTGGGCTGTGGACGCCCTCCATTACCCAGATGGTGCCGGGGCCACAGATAACTAACAGCACACGCTCACCCGGAGCACGGCGCTCACACACCCACACCCACGCCCACCGGCCACGCCCACCGGCCACCGGCCTCTAAAGGCTGGCTGGTGTCTGTGTGTGTGTGTGTACGACAAGTGCTGAGGAGTGACATCCACCAATACTGTAAGAGAGCCCTCTGTTGGTTTGCAGAGTGATTGTGACAAGCAGCGCAAACAAACAAACACACGTCAGTTTGCCTGATTTTTTTCTAGTATTAAATAAAATACATTTTAAATAAATACATTTCAAGCATCAACGTAAATCTAAGTTTTGCAGAGAGTCCTGGGTTTGATTCCCAGAGGGACCACATGCTGGTGGCAGCCCGTTAACAGCTGCTAATATCTGCTGCTAACACAAGAATTTGGGATCAATAAAATACAACTTTATATTTGAAGTATTTTAGTAGTAGTTTCTTTCATGTATAAAAAAGGGGACTTTTTTTAAACAAAGGTTGTTTTTTCCCAAAAAACATGTCCCCACAAGTATAGCTGTATGAGAACTAAACACACACACACCAAACCACCAGTGGGGGCAGTGATGAGTTGTCATTTTCCGTCTCATTGTCATTTTTATTTTATTGTATTTAACTCAAAGAAATATTTAGTTAAAAATAAACTAAATCTAAAATGCAAATAATGATGATGACGATAAATACATGATAAACAGCGAAATGAAACAGAAATATAAATAAATATATAAATAAATATATCGACGAAGTCCCTGCAGCAGTGGAGCAGAGACAGAAGATTCTAGAAAAAAAAAAACAAAAAAAAAACTGTGGGACATTTGAAGG